GAGAGGGGGCTGCGGGCTGGGGCAGGTATTGGGGGCACGGCTCCCGCAGGAGGGCGAGGGGCCGCCGGGTCTCCGGGACAGGGAGGTGAGGGAGAGAGCGGGCCTATCCAGGAGAGCCGTTACTCTGGAGCAAAGGCTGTCTGCTCTCACCTGGGGAAAAAAAACTTCCCAGCAGAAAAAGAGGACGTGTCTGGGGTCCGCTGAAGTGTGTTAGCCTTTTTCTCAGGAATCAGGGTGTTCCTGCCCACGTCTGACACAGGTACAGTTCAGGGATACCTACCGAGGATGGAAAATGTTCAGCAAGACTCAGGCGCAGTTATTGAAACTATTTGACCTCAGAGCAAAAAGAAGTTGTGTGGGAGGGTGAGGTCTGGAGTGGCTGAGACACCCAGCAACTGCCTGAGCAAGTTGCAACCATATTTATCACAGGAAGTATTTGATTCCTCCAATAAAGCAATGCAGTAATGGTTTAGTAATGACGTACCGGAGGAGAGCTGAGGCCTGAAGTTACGTTCAGCTATCACTTCAGCAAATGACTCTTTTCACATGAGCTACGATGTATAAATTTGCATTTCAGGTTCCACTTTCAACTCCAGCCGCTGTTTACCTTTATTCTGGAGTCTTTGAAGAGATTGACTTCATCTCATGAAGTAGCATTTTGCTGCATGTGTAGTTCCACTGTAGTTGGATTGCTTGTGCAATAAGAATTTGTTGTTTCAGGTAACTAGCAGTGGCAGAGTTTGGACCTTGGAGAAGTGGGATGGTTTTTGGTAACGTCTCTCAAGGGTGTTAGAGTTTTTACTCTTGTTTTTGGAATATCATTTGAGATGAGAAATTCGGTTCTTTTTCCGATACGGAAGCACATCAGCAATTCAACCATGTGATTTCACTGATTTCATGATTAAAATAGTTATGGGTATTTCTAATGTACCATGAGCTAAAATTAATCTCCATTCTGCATTTATAAATATTGGTGAAATTTCAACTCATTCAAAATCAAAGGCAAAGCTCTGTTTTCAGTGGGGTGAGGGGCTGACTGAGAGAATCTGAAAAGGTAAAAAACATCCGTCAATGATCTAGTCCCCAGTCCCTGTGCCTATGACTTCTCAGAGGGGCTATTGTGATGATGGCTTCTTTTGTTGTAACATGATTTGGTTTTTGCAAAAAATCCTAATCTGCAGTCCCCATTTTCTACTTACTTAAATGTCTTCGAGTACAGACAAAGATAAGAACTGTTAGTCACATTCTGTCATTATTCCCAAAAGATAAAATTTTTATTTAAAGAAAAAAGTATAAGTTTTGGACTCTGTACAAGTTTGTTCTTTCACTGTATCCAATGCTGAAAAGCGATATGTCCCAAGGAGATCAGCTATTGACCACCCTTACACATTTAGAAGTGTATCTCCCAGCTGTTTCTGAAAGGCAGAGTAGCAAACTTGTGGAAACACTTCACTGTTCTAACAGAAGTTCTTTGATCCAGAAGGAATTAACAGATTTTTTTTTTTTAAATCTTCATTGAATAGTTAAAAAAGTAGAAGTAATTTGTATTCAAAACAGTGCTAGGTATACAATAATGCATAATAAGTATGAATGAGTAATAGTTGTATGCTGTAACAACTGAACATGTAAATTGGGATATCAAGGCTTGGTGCTGGCTGTGTGACCCATTCAAGACACTTAGACTCTCTCCAGATCATTGGTTTCATTTGTGGCAAAGGTAATTTTACCTAATATTTAGCCAGTGTTGTAGCATATTCTGCCACTGTGTGTTTCTAGGTTATATTTGACCCCAGGAAAAGGCACTCTGGGACTTGTGTGCATAATGGTTACCTCGGGCAAAGTGGTAACAAATGGTGGGAAATGGTGGGACTTGGACAAGCAATACAAGGAGACTGCCAGTAATTGCCCATGAATGTGCTTAAGCGCCTGAATTCACCTAAGTGAAAAAGTCAGGAGAAGGCTGTGACCAGATGGTGAATTCTGCTCAGAGTCATCTTCCAGTGAAGGTGCCCTTGCGGACTCCTTCCCTGCTGCTGCCACCAGAACTAAGATTCACTTTCCAGAATTATTCCCAAAGATGGGTTTGTCCAGAAAGATGTTGCCTTGTACAGTGAGGCCTGAAAAAAAAGTCCTTGCAAAGAACAAACCCTGAGGTGCTCTCACCAATTTTGTGTGGCCATAGTGGAGGGGATGAAGGACAGCATGATCTCCACCTAGAGAATTTAAGTGAATTCCTCATGCTGAGAGTAGGCAGCAGCAAGGGCCCTTTCCATGCAACCATAGGTAGTGCTTATGGCAAGCATTTAGAAGTGTGCCATTGTTAATACCTGTTTGGAAGCCTCTGTGGCTGTAACTCACAATTTTAGTAAAGATTAGGTCTCTCCAGAGCTCCCAGTTTGGATGCTGTATTTAGGGTACTGGTGCTGCTATAGCCATTCTGAGCTGCCCCAGACTGTGTGTTTGGATGGTTTGGGCATTGCTTTGGAAGTACAGATACAGGAGTGTGTGTATGAACAAGCATTCAGCAGAGAAAGAGAATTTGGAAAGTTTCTCCAAGTGTTGTTGCCCTTATACCTGTTCCACATTCACCCTTCATCTCCTTTTGTTCAGGGTGTGATTGAAAAGGAAGCTGGGAAGGCAGAGGCAGATTGTACTTCCTATGCTGCAAAGCACGGACAGACCCATCCTATATACCATAGACAGGTATTGTTAACAAAGTTTGAGATCATAGTCACAAGCATATGTGCCCTCTCAGCAGAAGCAGCATGTAGGCAAGAAGAGCTTGTTATCTACAGTAATTGATTGATTTCTCTTCTTTTTCAGAGGATAGAGACTGGGAAAATAGCTGATTGTGAGTTTATCTAAAATTAACAGAATTGTCTCTTCAGGCGGAGGGCCCAGAATGTGTTTTGGAAAAGGGAGAGAGAAAGACCTAAAATCTGAGAATGTGTGGATACATTTGGCTACAAAGATGAGAAGAGTCTCTTGAGAAACAGCCATGGCAGTATTTCAGGAAAAAAGAAGAGGCAAGTAAGTCTTGCTTTGAAAAATTTAAATGTTGGGCTCTTTGTTATGTTGGAATTCAGTTAAGGTAAAAGGCAGTCAAGTGCTGGAAACCATGGAGGAGGCTGTACCTACATTTCAGAAGGTCACCAACTCTTAAAGGAGAAAAATGTAGAAGTAGGTCAAACATTACCGGTAGTATTTGAAGTGGTTTTATATGGCACTAGTTTATAATTCAGTGAGTCCTTTGCTCTGTTCATACTTAGTGAGCTATATTTTAATACTGAGAGGGATGGATTCCATTGCTCTTATTCATGTTCAGTTGCAGTCAGTGGAACTAATTGTTGAATAAGGTATGCTCAGCATGAGGATGGGTGACGGAATCTAGCCCAGCTGGAAATATTTTTTAAACTACTGCTGTATTAGAGAGCAGCCATCTCAACATAGGCAAATCTAGCATGTTGCTAAAAGTGCTTCAAGCCATTCTTGTGGCACACTGCAGTATTTTTACAGATGAATACAGGGCTTGTTTTAAAGTGATTCCCTCCCCCCTTGCCAAGCTGAATCATACTAACAGAAAGATTGGGAAAGCATCTGCATTGTAATTGTCTGTCCTGTGTTACAACACCGGCAGAAAATAGGTGGGTTTTTTTCAGAAATGGCTACTTAACTGCAGCTGTGTATAAAAGTCAGAGTTTACTGAAAATGTTTCATTGTGC